TCTGTTTCACCGAAATTTCCAAGTTGTTATTGCGCTGGATTTAAATGATCAATTGTCAAATTTAATAACGTGAGTACGATTTGGTCATTCAGTAATGCTAAATCTAATATAAGTTATAACTGTCACTAGTAGTAAAGCACTTGCAAAATTTTACTGCACGCCAACGATTGATTGGATATAATTTTATTAGACATGTGGCCATCTGAACACGTGTTGCTGAAATGGGATAGCACAATTACTATATGTACACGTCTCACCCTTTTGCCGATTTTGTTTTTGTGTTTACTTTCTAGCCGCAATGCTAATACAGAGGGCCCACAGTACTGCAGCATATTATGACTAATACTGCAAGTAGTATGCTCCCTGTAGGCAAATAGCAGCAGATGTGGTAAATACACGAGCTGTGTTTCCTTCATAAATATGTAAAACCACTTGCCATGCCACACAGACAAGATTGACGACTGGCTCAAGTGCTGGACACCCATCCATCGGTTCATATTCCGCATGATTTCAGTGTTTAGGGTTACATAAAACTCCACTCCAGATAAACTAAAAGCAAACATGTGTTCTACATAGTGCTTAAATGCACTTTAGGGGCAGCCCTGTGATACAGGCATTTATATATTAATAAGTGATGCATCCAGCAACTAGAAATGCGATTACCATAACTTTACCATGACTTTACCATAACTTACAACAGTAATGCGTAATGTAATACATATACTAGCATTATGTGTGAGCAACAAAAATGGCAATTATAAAACTTATGATACGATTGTACACACCTTCTACCTAATAAGAACTAAACATTCCACTGATTTATAATTAGATATAAAGTATAGAATTAGATAGTTGCCGCCAGAATTAAATTAGTTCGACTGACATCGGAGTTGCACTGGGGAGGGGGTGCCATATCAACCGAGCCTGTTACAAAAAAGCCAGGGTTGGTGACTTGGATGCCTGGTTGGGTGGCAAATCATTTAGAAGTACCTATTGTAAGGTACCAGAGAGATCCACGGTGGTCCTGTGGTTAGCGTGCTCATCCGTTCAAAGGCTGCAGGTGTATCCCCCGGCCGGGGCAGTGCACTTTCTGAAGGCGTAAAAACCTGGCTCTCAACACTGCGACTCTAAATCCCACATGGCTTGAATGACCATATAAAATGGCAGGCCCCATCTCTAGTAACGAGGACATAAACCAACCACTGAGGTTGTAAAACAGTATAACAGTGACCACCCCTCGCTGTCAGGAGAGTTACTAGTTAATTAGATCTCAACTTCTTAACTATACAGTTAGTTAGTTGATAGACTGCGACGAGGTCGTAAAACATACAAACACAGATGTACGATATCTGGATATGCTGATACTGATAGTGAGTGGTATTTGGCCAGGTGATGACTGCTCTTTTCCTGAATAAAATTTCTCAGAGCAATAAAGCGTCAATGTTTGCTATCTGTTCAATGTGACATTAATATTAAAATGCATATGAAAAATGAATTTTGAACATTAACCTGCTGCACAGAAATTATGACTTTTTCTGAGCTATCATGCATGTTAAACTGTGATACTAGCTCCACATGCTACACAACTGAAAAGACGTATTACAAGTTGAAAGCCTAGATATATATATATACGCCTACAACGCCTACAAAATAGTACAATGCAATAAGGTATATATATATAGCCTATACAGGGTGCGAAATTAACGGGAGTCTAGAGTCAAATACTCCCTGATTTACTGTCAGACTCCCTGATTTAACATATGCAGGAGTCCGTGTGACTCCCTGAAAATTCTGCTATACTAACTAGTTCGTTCCAGAGCACGGCCTCACGGAATTACTGTATTTTTTCAGCTAATGTCCAAAGAAAATTTGGCAGATGTGCAACAGCATGAATCTTAAAAAAAGTGTTATTGTTAATATTTTTATTTTGAACCTCAGACTGCGTACTCCCTCTTTTTGAGGGTAGGGAATCCCGTGTTCAAAAGTTAATTTCTGCCACTGGTACTGTTATCACCATAATATAATGAATATGTCCCTCATGGTCAAGCACACTATAAGGACAATGAATAAAGAGAGACCAAGGGCGCGTTTGTTTGGGACGAATCCGTCTGATCGAGATCATATGATCCTGATCCGACCAAACAAACGCAAAACTCACTTTCACCAGTTCACGTTTCCACGTTTGCCTGTGGACCTGATCACCGGATGGTTCATATACTAAATTGAAGATAGTTGTGAATTGGCCCTCGATCCTTACAGCAGCCCTAACGGGAGCCGTCATACACGTTGGAGGGCCGCGCAAACCCCGTGTCCGAAGATCCGCCCCGTTCTAGATAAGGGCGGGTTCGGTGGATCGAGACAAGTCTGATTGAGCATTTCACTCATGATTAATTATACACCTGTTGCTTGTTTTATTGGGTTTTATGTTCGCCCTGAATGGCCTCGTACTACCGTTGTCACTATATCACCGTGTGCAGTGGAGGAGACGACAAGGGTACGAGAACCATAACGATCAAGATGAGCATCAAATCGGTGGAGATCCAAGGACACCTACATCCATAGGGTCAAGAAGAACAGTCCATATAAGTAAGAGCCGAACAACAAAATCTATGTGTGGTTCACGCCGTACATGGCCCGCGGAAAAAAAATCAGGGTAGCGTAGAGCAGCCGAAAAAAAATAGCAGACGGGGAGCTGGCGAGCGATCTCGAGCTCGGCAACGTCAGCGTTTCGAATAGAGACCGCTCTGGTAACACACTTACGGAGAGCGAGAGGACGAACTTTGGAAGCTAACGACAAAAATCGCCTCCTGCGGTAGCAGCCGCCGGCCGGCAGCGTTACGACCGCGTTCCTCAACGCGTAGACACGGCATTAGGGTATCCGAGAAACATCTACGAATGGCCAGCGCACTAGCATAACACCTCCCTCACGCAGATTCCGCCACACACAGACAGAAATAACTCCGCGAAGAGACAGTCTAAGAATCGCGCAATTGTGGTTGTTATATAACCCGTGGTCCAACAATAAGGTGGTTATGATATCGGCAGCCGCGGGTTATTGTGGGAAGTTAGGGCCGACCAGCTGACACTGACGACGCACCGGAATCGCAAAACTGTTTTCTTGAATTCGTCACATTTTTTAAGAAAAGTGGGAGCCTGTTTTATTCCTAAGCTAGATAATTTAGCAAGCAAGTGTAAACTGTAACTATACCTGAAGATTTTCTAGGCGGCTTGTAAACTTTGTGGATGTGGCGCACGCATTCGATCAGAATCTATGCATCGGGGTACCCGTGGAATGAGAAGAGAAAAACGCAGAAGTAAAACCCTAATTACCCAGCCGTAGCTCCCCGACATTCCTAGCGATTGAAACACACACTTATTTGACCAAGCTCTAATTAGCTTTACATCAAGAGTCTAATGAAGGAACTATTGTGCTAATTAAACTCCTTGTTACGCCGTAAGCTGTTTTAAGATTCCATTGGTTACCTCTTATATACTTTGTTACTCGGCA